TTGGGCTGTTGCCAGATACCCCTGAGGACGTAGATGGCTAGAAACATTCGTGTAGATGCATCTGACTTGTGTGAATGGACTGACATAGGGTGCACTGCCACATCGGTGTATCTACGCCCCATAAACGCGGATATACCTGTTGCACTCCGAGTAAAATATTGTTTGTGGGATGGATATTGGGTGTAAAAATATCTTCTTTTTTTCTGGGTCGATGTGAATCTTCTATACAGGTCCTGTTACGTCGACGCACTCGCCGGAGCAGCCGTTGATTTTAAAAACGCTCGACGCACTTGCGGTATTATTTCTTTTTGATTTAAAAACTTCGACGCATTCGTTTTTCCCACGGTAAACGCGTCCATAAATCACGATAAAATGTGATCCAGCTGGAAGTGCAGTGGGGCGATTTTTAGAGATAGTTACTGACCCCAGAGCTATTGTATTGGGCTCACAGACTGCCTTGCACGGTGTCTATCATAAACATTTTATTGGCGGCTGCGCTGTGATTCAAATTTGCTCAGGATGGTCCCTGCCCCTTGATATCTTGCTATTCTAGTCATGTAGGCTACAATTGACCAAATCTGAGTCGGACGGGATTGAGGCTCAATTCCTAGCTGGGCCGTGGGTAGGGCCCTGTTCCATGCCATAACAGGTTTAGCGCCGCTGCCGTGCTTCACAAACTTGGTTGACACGCGTTCGCGAGTGATCTTACATTCGAACACCGTGTTCATAGCAAGGTTCTCCGGGTCGGTGTCGATCGTTCTCATCGATGAAGTCGAATACTCATTGTACATCATGTACACACGTAACTTACTCGGGGTCTATCGACAATCGTGCGTATTTTAACGTATTGGCCTTCATACTTCCGCTATTGCCCGCATATGCACCCCTCTCAAAGGCCGCCCTGTGTTCGCCGATCAACACTGAACAGGCGCACATGCGCGTGTATGCTTCTAAGGCTGACCTTGTCATTGGCCGTGCATCGGAGGTGATGTGGTGTTATGCCAGAGCGCGAGAGGAGTCACCAACCAGGGAGGGCATAACATACTCTTCCAGGGTGAATCTCCCGGATGCCAAACCCACAGATGTCGTGCGGCAGAGATATCTATCATTACGGACTTCGGATCGTTGTTGTCGATGAAATGCGATTGACGTGGTTCGGGGCCTGAAGGCAGCTTCAAGGACAGCGGGTGCAGCTTTGTTGTAGTATGCGTGTACGACGATGCCCGTAGACGACGCGGACGGTCCGGTGGTGGCGGACCGCGGTTCCTGTGTCATCGTTCCGAAGGGCTCCGGCCGCGACCCAACGATATTCCGCCTCTCGGGGTCAAATAAACGCTCCCCGATTGGTCCGGCGCGTCGGGCTGAATCGGATCCGGGGCACTTTTTGAACGGATCGTGACGTTGCGCGAAACTTCACTTCGCACTTCATCCACCTGCCAACCTCCCTACTAGACCTTTACCCTCCCTTCGTCTAATCTCTCGTCTCTAATATGCCTTTCGCTCCAGGTACCCGCTCGCCGTCCAGCATGCATGCAACACGGAAACTGACCACCTTCTGCAGGTGACTCCGGCAAGGGCGCCAGCCTTTTCAAAACTCGTTGTGCTCAATGCCACACCGTTGGTGCCGGCGAGGGCCACAAAGTCGGCCCTAACCTTCATGGGTGTGTAACATTCTGTGCTGTCACGTCACTCCGGACTCTGACGCCTTCGTGCAGTGTCTTCGGTCGCAAGACCGGCCAGGCTGAAGGTTTCTCTTACACTGCTGCGAACGTCAACAAGGGTATCACCTGGAACGAGCAGACGTTGTTCGAGTACCTCGAGAACCCCAAAAAGTACATCCCCGGCACGAAGATGGCATTCGCGGGCTTGAAGAAGGAGAAGGACCGCAACGACCTCATTACATGGTTGAAGGAGTCGGTGAGTAATGCCGCCCTCGCTTCGTCCAGGCCTGTTCACCAACATGAGCATTCTAGACTGCATAGACGCCTCTCCTTAGACTCGCATTATACACTATTATTCACGATCCCCACTCTATTGGTAGACGATTAGCATGTGCGCTGTCAATTACACGAGGATACCACTATTCACGACGTTTTTGAGTGATACCTCGGCTGAGTGATATGAGCTTTCGCGTTGTACGAGCTGACTGAGCCATCTGCAGCGCAAAGTCAGATTCGCTCCGGTAGGATCATCCCTATGAGTGCCGATCCGTTCCCTATGACGCACGTTGACGTTTGAGGATCCCGTACGGGCCGTCAACAACGCACCCGCTGCTCTACATCTCCCGTTGGGAATGCTCAGCCGAACATCACGTCTACCCCTTCTGCGTTCAACGCGTTCAGAGACTCCCTGGCCAGCGCTGACATCCAGGACACTCTCCTCCGCCCTGGACCCGCTAAGCCCTCACCAGCCGTTGCGAATGCGTCGATTTCGCGGCCAACAACCCAAGCAAGAAGATGTTCCGTCAGCGAATCCCATTGTCCTCACCATGATGCTAGATGAATCGACTCACGCATTCCTTACCGGGCTTCGAAGCAAATACTTCCCGGCGCATCGTAACTATCTCGTAGGCCCCTATTCAACAACCCGCCCTCGATCCGCTGATCAACCTGTTCGTGTCGATAGGAGGCACATGTAACTTTGTTCCACGCCATTCCGCACGATGCCATGGATGTTGTAAGCTGCGTCTTGGACGCCATATCGCAAGAGCAGGTCGCGTTCGACGTGCATGTGGATGAGCCCTTCTCCCTCGGACGACGCGGCGTCGCTGTGCCGGTTACTGGCCCGAAATGTTTACCGACACCAATGGTGCATCATGCACGCGCTCGACCCCTCGACCGCCTCCAAGTCATCCACGCGACGCTCCTCTCCCGCTTCCGGGATGCCGGTCTCGTCTTGACCAACCAAGACTGTCAGCGGCTAGCTAAGCCACATGTCACGGTTCAGAATAAAGTCGGTGAAGACGATGCCAGAAGATGTATGGACGAAATCCGGATGCTCTTCGATCGCGCGGGTAACAAGGGAACGACAGACGTGGTACGCGACGGGAAAGCCATAGGCATAATGATGTGGGAGTACGAGTCGTCGGGAAGGTGGAAATATGTTCGGAATTGGTTGTTTTCAGGGAGGAGCGAACAGGGACAAGAGGGACGTGTATAGTTCCGATCACGTTGACGGAGTACATTCGACCATTGATGTTCGATGTTAGATTCATGCTACGCACATAAGGTAGGGTGATAATGCTCACGATGTGGCGCCTGTTTCGTGCTTTCGCGAACTGCCGTTACGCGTCCTTATGGGCTACGCCTGTGACCATATCGCCGCCTATAAGTAGGATGGGCCGAGGGCGCTGACTTCCCCAACCCACGAAGGCCGCCTTTCGTCGAAAACGCTCTCAGCCTCCGATTGTTTCGCGCTGTAAAATGTTGCTGTTCACTCTACTGGACCAGATGTTCCCGCCCAAGGCGAAGTGGACGCCGACGGATATCCCTGATTTGGACGGCAAGACATTCTTGGTGACCGGGGGCAATACGGGACTTGGAAAGGAAACGTGCAAACACTTGCTCCTGAAAGGTGCGTGTTCTACCGTGGTTCGTTGTGTGTACTGACGATGAGGCATACAGGTGGCGATGTGTGGTTCACAGCACGGTCTGCGTCGAAGGCCGAGCAAGCCATCGCAGAGCTGGAGAAGGAGACCGGTCGGCAGGCACGGTTTCTCCAACTGGACCTTAGCGATCTTTCTAGTGTGAAGCGCTCAGCAGAAGAGTTCAAGACGTACGAAGCTCTGTTTACTCCCGTCTCCGCGACCCGTGCTCATCGACGTCTGTATAGGAAGCAGCAGCGCCTTGACGCATTGATTCTCAATGCGGGGGTTATGCATCCCCCAATCGAACAGCTGACGACCCAGGGATACGACATGCAGTTTGGTACCAACGTGCTAGGTATGCTGATTACACCGTACCCATCATCGCCGCTTGAGCTGTAGTGACTTACCGTCCTTTCAGGTCACTTCCTCCTGATTAAGCTCCTCCTTCCTTTGCTTCGCTCCACCGCTACTGGTCCTTTGGCAAAAGGCGAACCCTCTCGTATAGTGTGGGTGTCTTCATCCACGAACTATTATTTCAACCCGCCTGTGAAGTATGACACTCTCAAAGACTCCCCGCAACGAACTGCGCTCGGTATGTCGCAATGATCTCTTCGTTTCGGTTGTCGCATCTCAGTATTTGCATTTAGGAAACTTCCAGCTTTACGCACAGAGCAAGTTCGCAACTGTGATGCTCGTGTTCAAGCTTGCGAAGCTGCTCGAGGGTGATTATGGTGCTAACGGCAAGGTAGTCGCCAATGTTGTAGACCCTGGTGCGTGTAGCTTGCCTGTGTGCTGCACGTCAATTCTTACAGGTTGCTTCAGGAAACATCAGGACGGAGCTTCAACGGTATGCTACTTTCGGGGAGAGGATATTGGTACGTTGTGCTCGTCCTCATGCGTGTGCCGTTGCATTAACGTCCCCGACCGTACAGCATTGGATACTCCTTCATCCGACTCCGTTGGGAGCTTACACGCAACTTTACGCTGCGACGAGCCCGGAAGCGGCAAGGCAGAACGGGAAGGTACCCAATATCCTCTTCGCTTCCGTGTCTGTTGCTCACCAGGTGGCTTCGCAGTACTTCTACCCCTGGGCGAGGACCACAGATCCTGCGCAGGGAACCTTCGATGAACGCGAACAGGACAAGATATGGGACTTCTGCGAGGAGGCCGTCAAACCGTTTGCATAGTCTGCCTTTGGCAAGATCGTGGGTTGTCAAAGCCGTGTAGTTGTTTCGTGCTTTAGTGCTTCCTGCTTTGTCGGCTTTGAGGATGGTACTACTTTGCTATTTGTGGTGCACAAACACTGCCTCAACTATATCTCCATGCATCAGCCTGCGCCTTACATAAGGGGAGGCCATTTAACTAGCGGAAGTCGCGGTTCGGATGCTCCGGTGGACAGCCTCGTCCATAGTGTATATAATCATCGCTCTGCCACCTTAGCGCGGGCCGCCACTTCCGTCGCAATGTCTGCACCTCCCGACTCGAACAGGACGCTATCAGAAAAATACATCCAAGATTGCTTCCACAGCTACCTTCGCTCGTCGCTCACACAAGCCAAAGCCGAGCGGATCCTTGATGTCGATGTACTGAGTTCCGCAGAGAGTGATCTCATGATCACTGGTGCGTATACATCCTTGCTCGGCTAATATTCCAGCGAGCTGAATGCTTTCAAAGGCCCTGCGCTCTGTCTCTACTTTGCCGCGCTCAGATCGACCACGAACCCCCCCTCCGTCCCCTTGCCCAGGAAGGAGAAGAACCTACCCCCCATCGAGCTCTCTCCGCTCAACTGCCCTCCTGCGTTCCTCGGCTTCCTGCGTGTGTGGACAGCTCACGTCCAGCAGATACAGAGCCTCACTCCGGAGCATCAGCACGATCTCGCTCGCATCATCTGTGGCTTGGCTCCCGTGTCATCCCCGTTGAACGTGAACCTCAATCGCATCGCGGCCGACCTCCGCGCCGTCGCTATCGAAATCAGCCAGAGGAGGTCTTTCCAGGACAAATACAATGAAGACCTTCAGGCTGCGATCGATGCCGGCGACTCGACTCGTGGTCGCACAAAGGCGTCGTTCGCGCCGCCCCCAGCGTATACCCCATCCCCCTCTCCCTCGCCGCAAGGATCGCCTCGCAAGCGACCAGAGCCGCTATCGGTTCACCCACCCCACCCTTCGGAGGCGGCCAACCCAGCGCTGCTCTCTCCTCCACCCACGTCAACGTCCGCGCACTTCCACCACTCGTCTGCCGCCAGTTCGCCCAGCACACCGTCTTCCACATCCTCCTTCTCCCGCTCACCGTCTCCCTCCCTTCTCGCTGACTCGCCGACGATCTCGGTGATCCGCGAAACATTGTACGCCGCCCTCGGCGACGTGCTCTCCCGAGTACCGTCCCTAGGGAGGCTCATGAAGACCGATCCTCCTCGGGCCTACTTCGCCGCCGTCGGCTTTGCCATCCTCGAGGTTTCCACAACCTCTATCACCGCCGACGGATCGGTGGTAGGCGTGTTGGGCAGTGTCGTCACTTTAGACGATTGTCCGCCTCCGCTCAGGCCGTTCATGACCGAGTTGGCGGCCATCGGACACGCGGCGAAGGAGATGGAGGAGCAAGACGACGCGCATGCGATAGAGTTGGCGCAAGTGGGACGGGAAGTTCCCGAACCTCGGCTGGAACGGGTCAGACAGATGCTGGAGAAGGGCGTCGGCTTCCGCGTACGGAACGGCGAGGCGGAGGATGAGGGAAGGAGGAGCACTGAAGGACGGGCGGTGGCTTTCACGAACAGAATCAATGCGTTGGCCCTGGGCATGACGCGCTTGCGGCCTTTCCGGGAGCGCCAGGACGAAGTGTTCAAAGTGCTGAGTGGTATCATGCAGCGGTGACCTGCTGCTCGTCGTTGATGCCAGCGTCGATTCGTTATTACCGTTATAGTTGAACTTATTGTGCCTGCCGTGTACGACGTAGTGTATACTTTGTAATCCGTGTAATTTGTAGTTCTGTAGCACCGAAGATGCAAAGCCCGTTGATCATGAACGCAAATTCCCACGATCGCGCGCTCTCGTGTTGATCACCTGCCCCGACAGCCCCGACGCGCTGCCCGCCCTGATACGCGCCTCCTCGCCCGCCGGCTCACGTTGGATGGACCTCACCCACATTTCTGCCAAGCGCAGGTCCTCCGACGACCGCCCCCTCCCCGCCAAGAAGCCCCGGAAGGAGGTGAGCCGTATCCTACTGCCCCTTGCCTCCTCCTTTCTCATACGTTTTTCTATGGTCTGTAGAAGCCTTCGTCCTCGAGCAAGCGAAAACGTGCGTGGCCTCGTCCCTCTTCATACTTACACCGCCCTCATTGTTACTCTAGTCCATGGCGAAGAGCAACCTGGCGGCCTAATCATCGTCCGCGCCTCCTCCGTCCCGCCTGGCCCATCCTCCTCGCGAAGCTTCAGTCAACCGGCGACCTCCTTTTCTCAAGACGCTCACGCGGACACCTCCCACCGTCTACGCCCACTTCACAAACCAAATTCTGCACAATCTCAGCCAGACCCGTCGCGATCGGCGCGTCAATCACGATCACATGCCAACATAACACTGCAGGGGATTCCGGAGGACGAGGAGACGGAGGAGCTGCGGTCGATGAGGGCGGAATCGGATACTCTAAGACGCAAATCGCAGGCGGGAGCCCAGCAAGTCCGCAACACCAGCATACCCCCCGAGTTCCAGCTTCCCCCAGCCTCTTACTCGCAATCTTCCGCCCCTTCAACATGGGCGAGCAAAGCAAAGCCACCTTTGAGCAAAACCTCGTCGCAGTCACACCAACCGAAGAAGAAGGGAGGGACATCCGCGCGTAACGACGTCGAACCAGACCATCGAAGGCGAACCTCGATGAGCGCTCGCGGTAAACGGGCAAGCTCGAGCTACCAGAGCACGGGCGTAGTCAGTGCGTCAGCCTTTCCTTCGCTGCACCCCTCCGCACCTGTGCCATCGCGGCTTCCACCACGTACGGCACCTTCGCTCCTCCGCCGCTTCCTTAGCTGCACGCCGTGTCTGACCGCCCGTATCCCCGACAGCACATCCGCATCCGTCGGTTCCCACCTCCAGCTTCTACAAGCACATCGACGTTGAACTACCGGAGCCTCAGCGAGCACGCCAACTGTTGGTATGGGGTACAGAGCGCGCGATACAACAGCCACCGAAAGCCTCCAAGCATGCGAACGGTAAGAGCCCACCTGGTTTTTCTCCTGGTTTCTTATGCTCGTGCAGTCGCTAACCCGCCTTGTCCTTCGCAGAACTCCCGCCGTTGACACCAGAAGCTAGTCGCGCCCTCAAAATCGTGCAGAACGATCTCGTGCGGATGCTCGCCGAGAAACGGATAGACATACCATTGTACGGTTCCGCCATGGGCAAGCAACCGACGCCGGTCAAGGAGCAGAACGAGCAGAACGTCAAGAACCGCGCTCGCGAACAACGCTTTAACGCAGAGATCGATGCGTGCGTATCTGTGGTGCTTGCGCACGCAGAGGAATTTCTAACCTCAACCCGTGGCCAGGATGAAAGCCGAGGACCAAGCGTGGGCGAAGGCGGCCGAGTTTTACAACTCTTACCAGGCAAGCGTTTTGGCCGAACTGGAGACGAAGAAGCTGCAGAAAGCCAAGGCGAAAGCGGACCCGGGTGCGGACGACGTCGACGACAGGCTATTACCGCCAACATTTCGCGGCCCCGGCGGTGTTCAGCTCGCCCGTGCAGTTTTAGCGGACGAGATACCGAGGCGGAACAAGCTCGCCGAGCGGGTCAGCGCTCTGCCGTTCGAGGTGGGCAACCGAACGTTCGCAACTCGACGTGCCCTGACTGACTAGTGTGAATGTAGATCGACCGAATGCACGCCAGCGTCAGCGCCGCCCGGCTGTACACTCACGCAGTGGAATCTCATTTGGATTCCTACTTTGCGTCCCTCTCGCTCGCTACGCACTCCTCCACATCGGCCTCCACCTCCAGACCGCCGCGTCTCAACCCCGCGCCCCGACCCCTAAGCGAGCCTCCCGCCGCCAAACTGGACGAGCCGCGAAGCCCCCGCGACCTCCTTCGCGCGTTGGCACGCGTCGACGTCGAACGACCGCCAACGAAGGTTAGCGAAGCCGCGCGGAAGGCGATGCGCGAGGTGCAGCGCGCGGCAAAAGAGCGGGCGGACGTGATGCACACGCCGAGGAAACCGCCTCCTACGCCTAGACGAGATCGAACTCCAGGGCGGGAGCGGACGCCAGGCCGGAGGTAGCGAGACGGCTCATAATTATTATGTTGTATTTGTTTGCTTCTCTATATCGCGCGTCAGGCGCCGCCCCACAGTCGATTTATATCCCTTGCGTCATGTATCGTGGATGTTTTACTCGTTCTCACCGGTGGCTAGTCAGAAGAGTGATCGTGCAGACCACGAGGACTGCGGTCATGTTGCAGGCCAAAGGTCTGCACGTCGGAAACGCAGGTTCTTGACAAAAACTCTCGCAAGAGGGTAGCGTTCGGGCAGCGAAGATGACTATGTTCCCCACCCGCACAACCACGTCATGAGGGTTGTGGGTCATGGTAATATAGTAATATATCGCGTCGTTGGTGATGGTACATACAATCGCCGTCTCATTTCTACTCTTCAGCGCGACGGCGTCTACGCATCGGGTCGTTTATACGAAACATCCAGACGGACCTGGAGAGACATTAGCGTCGACCTTGGAGCAGAGCGCGAGGCGTCGGCTTACCCAGTTGTTGTACAGTTCTCCGGGACCGAGGAGGGTGTCGTTTCCGTTGCGTACCGTGTCCGGGTTTAACCACGCTGCGAGTGGCTCGTGGAATTCGAGGAATGCGGCGCCTGCAGGCGTATGTCAGCATCTGACCTTCAACGTTCGTAGGAGTGACATACCGCCGACGCCATAGCCCTCGCCCGTGCCAAACTTGCCCGTACCGCCGTGGATCTTCTTTCGCGCGTTGGAGCGGTCGTAAGAGTTGGCGGTGTAGAATTGCACGCCGGATTCTGCGCGAACGCCGTACTGCGTTAGCTCGTGCAACCCCCTATCCCAGATCTTGGATAGAAACGTACGGTTGGTGAAGAACGAGAGCTTGAGCCCGCTCTTGTCGCTCGAGAGCTCGACGACGGGCTCGTCCGTCTGCGTCGTCGTCGTGCCGCTCTCGACGACGGCCTTGAGCAGATCCACGTCGTCCGTGAGCTGCGAAGCGGGGACGATCACCTGCGGCGGCACGAGCGGGGCGGAGAAGGCGTAGAACTCGTCGTAGCCGACGCCCTTCCCGGTGTCGACGTCTGGCCAGCCGTCGCCTATAAGTTTGCCGGTGGAGTGGTCGTGGTAGGTGCCTTTGGCGGGGGCGAGCGACCCGGCCGAGTTGTAGTTCTTGTCGAGGGCAATCGTGGCATCGGACTGAGCAGCACCAAAGGTGTCAGCCCAACGTCATAGAGAGGAACCCTAGGCGCACCTTGATCTTCAGCAAGTGGCCCTTGACGTCGGGTTCGGGCCTGACGGACCGGGGCTCGCCGTCGGGGCGAAGGGAGGCCTCGAGGTTGAAGCCCCAATGCTGGGTGAGGTTGATCGGGGTAATGACCTGTGGGAGCGTCAGCGTATGTTGATGATAAGCGAGATGGATGAAGGCCGACGTTCTGCCCCTCGACAAGTTTGGCGCGATAGACGAGTATGACGCTCCCGAGCGTGAGTTGGTCGACGTCGGTTTTCGGTGGAGGAGGTGCGCTCAGCAAACCGACGAGGACCTGCATTCCCACGGTTAGAGATTGACGGATGGCGAGGCAAGATGCGGGCAAGTACCTCGGATCTGACGGAGCCGGGAAAGCCGCCTTGGCCGTCTTTGCTAGTGATGGAGAATATCTGTGCTGCAGGCAGAGAGGCGATGGTGTTCTTCTCGGCTGGGGTGAAGAGGGCGCTGTGGGACGGGTCGAGTGGCTGCAGAGGGTCGCCACGTAAGGGTACGGATGCAAAGGCGGGTGGGAGACATCCCAGAACGTACCTCCCATATGCGCTTGTCCCAAGGGTCGGAGCCGGGACCGGAGTGTAGGCAGACATTCTGGTTGGCCTCGGCGCTGTTGGAGGCAGGGGTGATGACGCTGGTAATGGTGGGATGGCGAGAGGAGGTGAGGGTGTGCGCTCCTGAGAGGATCTGTCAATATATGCGCATATAATGGGGTGGGATGTAGTCGCTCACCGGTGGGGATGCGGTTGGTGTAAGGACCGATGACGGAGTTGGTGTACGGCATTTTGGCATGGTCGGACGGATCCTCGGGCCCGACCAGAACATCGTGCGTCTACGGTCGGACAAAATTACGCTGGGGACAACGTAGGACGATGATCGATGACGCACCCTGCCGTCTGCCTGGACGAAGAGCCTGTGCAGGGTCAGGCCGCGAGGGAGGACCTCGAGGGCAAGGGCCGGCGCCAGGGAGGGCAGGGCGAGCAGGATCGGCTTGAATCCATCGTCGGCAGACATCGTTCTGCAGGTCGCGCGATGAGGTGGCGATCGGAGGAGGCGAGCGGCGAGCAGTCTGGTCGGACGGCGGGTGAGCACGGTGAGGACGGCCATGGGCGTGGCGACACGAGAAAGACATACGCACGGAGGTTGGTTCAGACGACGTCGAGGAGCGAAGATAGGGCGAGGGAGGCGGCAGGGCTATATTGCGCAGGCGCGAGTCAGCTGGAGGGCGGGCGGAGAAGCATCGGAGGCGGGGGCGTGACGGCGACCCGGATCGGTAGATAAGATCGGGGCCTGTATGAGTATCATCCCCGGCTGTCCCTGGCCGACGTCGGACGTCCTCGTCTGTCGTCACATGCGTCCACGCTCAGCTTACCGGCTCGGACGCGCCGTCGCGATCCTTAACTTGAGCCGCGTCGCCACCAGGCCACCCAGACGTCCACGATGATCGTAGCGATCGATAAACCGCTCGTCTCTCACATTCCCCGGCCTCGCCCAGCGTCATAATCTAATCGACAGCCGCCCCGCACGCCTCAGCATCCCGCGATGGCCGCCCAGCTGCCTATCCCCGTCTACACCAACCTCACCGACCTCTACCACGATCTGGGCACCGCGACCAAGCATGCGTGAGTCGCATCACCATGCAGCCCCCGTGCTCTGCTCTGACGACGTCATATAGCGAACGCTGGTCCCATCTCGCAGAAGAGTTCGAGAAACGCTACGGGCGCAAGCCTGCCTACATCGCCCGCGCACCAGGTCGCGTCAACCTCATCGGCGAACACATCGACTATGCCCTCTTTGGCGTCTTCCCCGCCGCCGTCGAACGAGGTCCGAGCTTTCGACTACGCTTATGTCCTTTGCTCAATTCTCATCTCCAGACATTTTGATCGCGTGCGCACCGCGTACAGCGACCGCGTCCCCCGAAGCCGAAGAACCCACATCACCAGGCGCCGTCACCGCCCAGAACCTCCACCCAAAGTATGCGCCCCAGACCTTCGTCCCCGTCAAGAAACCGACGAGCATGTTCAAGCGATCCGAATCCGATGACCAACCACCGGAAAACGCCGTCCACGCCGAGCAGTGGGTGCTCGACATTGACAAGAACGAGCTCCGGTGGGAGAGCTACGTCAAGGCGGGGTACTACGTGCGCACCAGCCATATCCCCTGCCCGTGCTGTCCTCCATGACACGTTCCTAGGGCGTGTTGAACCATTACTACTCTGGCTCGGCTGAGGATGGGCCCATGCCCGTAGACCTCTTGTTTACCGGTTCCGTCCCTGCAGGCAGCGGCCTCAGTTCGTCGTATGTGTTGTGGACGACATGCTTTCACCTTCGCGCCTGCTCACGCTACCATCAGTGCAGCGATGGTCGTGGCCAGCACCCTCGCCTTCCTCGCCATCAACGGCAAGCTCGAAGACCCATCCACCGCGCTCAGCAAAGGCGCCCTCGTCGAGATGGCGATGGAAAACGAAAAGCGCGTCGGTGCGACGGCTCCTCCCCTCTTCACTCTGTTGAAGCTCACGCATATCTACCTCTCAGGCGTCAACTCTGGCGGGATGGACCAAGCCGCTTCCGTGATCTCCACCGCCGGCTCGGCCCTCTACGTCAGCTTCTTCCCGAAACTCTCCGCCGAACCGACCCCGCTCCCAGGCTCGCACCTCGCCGCCTCCTCCTCGTCCACCGCCACCACGGCCCAACCGCAAATCATCACTCAGGTCGGCAGCCTCGAGCAGGGCAACTCCAAAGCCACTCTCGTCACGGAGGCGCCATCTACACCGCAGACGACCGGCGCGGTGTTCGTATGCGCCAACTCGCTCGTCGTCTCCGACAAGGTCGTCTCCTCCAAGTTCCGGTACAACCTGCGCGTTGTCGAGACCCTGGTCGCAGCCCGCGCGCTGGGGCGCATTCTGGGTGTTCCGCTGGACAAGACCGGCGTGAGAGAGAAAATCACGCTGCGCGAGGTGCTCGGGCGGTGGTTGGGCGTGGAGGAGACGAAGGGCGGCGACGCGGAGATCGACGTGCAGACGCTGAAAGAGGGCTTGAAGAAGATTTCGGCCGAGTGCGAGCGGCTCAAGCCTACCACAAGCCCATGTGAGGTCATCTTATTTTGTTCTGTGCGCTACTCGCATCGGTTCTGGTGCTGATGGCCGCTTCTCTCAGTGTCAGGGACCGTGCCGGGTGGAACGGAAAGCTTTGCCGACGATTCGGCCCAGCTCGGCGTCACGCTCGACGAGATGATCGCGCTCTCTGGCCTCTCCCCCGCCGAGTTCCAGGAGACGTACCTCTCCTGGGTCGACGTCGAGGCGACCCACTTTCAGCTGTACAAGCGTGCGAAGCACGTCTTCGACGAAGCCTGGCGCGTACTCGAATTCCGGGACGTGTGCCGTCAGTCGTCCGGGCAGAGTTTGGAGGCGACGTTGACGAAGATGGGCGAGCTCATGAACGAGTCCCAGTCGTCGTGCGCGGAGTTGTTCGAATGCTCGTGTTCCGAGCTCGACCAACTCACCGCCATCGCCCGGGAGGCCGGCGCCTACGGCTCGCGTCTCACAGGTGCGTGACTCATCGTTCGCCCATTTCACGCGAGACACCGACTGTGAATGGTGGTTGTGGATAGGAGCTGGATGGGGCGGCTGCACCGTCTCGCTCGTACCCGAGTCGGAGGTGGATAGCTTCATCGCGAAGGTCAAGGCTGCGTACCCTCCTTATAAGGGCCTCGAGGGCGAAGCACTGCACGAGGTCATCTTCGCCACCAAGCCAAGCAGCGGTGCCTGCGGTACGTTCTTCTCGACGTCTCTTTGGGATGTCTCGCTGACCTGTCCGCGCCCAGTGTATAAATTTACCGAGTAGTGTGGTGTGGTGTCTAGAGAAAGGAACATGTAACAAAACCCGTTGTATCATCTATACTAGACGTGAACGCTATAAGTACGATGACAAGCTTCCACATGGCCTAAACAACAGGAACAGGCCAAAACTGACAAGAGTGGGATTTGAACCCACGCCAGTATACACTGATGAGAACCCTGACCTGCCAAGCAGGCAAGCTTTCGCTTGAGTCACACGCCTTGGACCGCTCGGCCATCTTGCCATCGTTGTAAAATGTGCTTTGCTATTATATATATAGAAGTGATTTATATTCGGCCAAAATGTCCGCGCGAGGAAATTGGCCCAATGACGTGATCCCCATCATGCTACTTACCAAGTTGTCTAGCGCATAGCTGGGGTCATACAAGTAACACGGCCAGCCTGGCCCTGAACATGGCGAGTTTGTGAACATGATTAATTGTCAACTGATACTGATCCCCGCCGTTCAGTTATACCAGCAGCGCTTGGCTACGTAGATCTCTCAATCAGCTTTTCTTCCGAGTCCATCCTGGCTGATATCGCGTCCTGATGGAACGTGTGCCATGTATCTGATCGTCATATCCAATGGACTAAAGCTTGAAGCCACTTGCTGCCACAGGATGCTCACATATACAAAGCAGCGGACGCGCGCTGATCATTCATCAATGTCAGAAAACTCCGCATAACTTTACAGAACAGGCAGTCCTGAGTCGATGATGAAGTCTCCAAATAGCGCAGGATACTAACTCTCGACGAATTCATATGTATAACGGATGCGTGGCACAAACCCGTCCTACCACAGCCGACGCTTTGACCGGAAAGCGTCATCTCATAAGGTAGAGCTTCTGATTTGTTCGAGTATATTTGTGCACGAACTAAAGGATCCGCAGTTAGGTCATCCAAAATTGACGCACACTCACGATTCTAGGACCTCTTGGATGATGCTTCCCTGAAAGTAAATTATGACTTTCCTATATAATGTGCTCTCTGAGTTGATTTGACACCCACATTCACCTAATGGCAATCCCTACGACACTCGCCGATACCTATGGAGCGCTGTTCCTGGGTGTATGCATCTCTGGGTTGCTCCTCGGTATAACGTGCCTTCAACTGTGACCCGTGCATTTCCACACCAAAATGTTCATAGTACTGACGTTCATATTTAGCTACTTGTTCTTTGACAGATTCCCCAAGGAACCTGCGTTCACAAGAATTGCTGTAGGTGCCCTCAACGCATGACCCTTGATGTAGTCATATAGAATTTAACGGTCTATGTAGGTTGCTGTGATGGGACTTCTCGACACAACGGCGTTCGCCCTAAACCTTCACGCTCTGTACCACTATATGTTTGCCAACGGTTCGGAACTGAATGACCTACTCAGCCCGGTCTGGTAAGTGCACGCTGCCATGGATTCATTGGTCGTAACCTGGCGATTTCTAGGAGCTTGAAGGTAGTCATCTGCCACGATACAACTTCAGAAAATACTCACTCGGGGGCTCGAAGCTGTCTATCATGATCAGTGATATCCTTGTGTCAGGTGTTCAGACCGTAGGCACACGTCTATCAATTCTTCAACTACTCGATCATTCTCTGACACTCGTACAAGCTGTATTGCATCAGGCTGTGGAAATGTGTGTCATATCTGTACTATACACGTCGACACTGTGCTGATTCCAAAGGTCAAGTTGCCAGTACCAAGAGATTTCTGCCATTCATTGTTGTACGTGCAATTTTATCTCTCGCCAGAGTGCTCCGTAATCGCATTAACCGTGTTGTAGACAATCGCGGTCTTAGGAGGCTGGGGTACGTAGTTCTTGATATCCTGCGTGCGTCGTAGCACTCATGTCCGCACGCAGCAAGCTGTTTGAGTGCGCGTGCTCATCTCACCATCTTTATTATCCTCTATTTTCTGATCAGTCAACGATCTGTTGAATAGTGAATGGAATCCAAGGGTGCGTGTGGCTCGCACATATCTATGGGTTGGAATCTTGAAGCAGAACATACCGATTCAGGCTTCTGTTGAAGGACTTCCTGCAAATACAACCCGAACGGGTGCGCATTAAGCATGACGCGCTGTCATCGAAATACTTACTGAATTATATTAGACCACGGTTATCTATATCCCATTTACAGTGGCGACAGCGGTAGACATCGTAATATCCGGGGTTACATGCTATTATCTGTATACGACCATGCCGAGGTTTTCCCCGTAGGTCTTTTGCCGAGAAACAGTGGCCGTACTGCCTGTGCAACTGATTAATCCAGCACACGTTCCATCGTTGACGAGTTGATTGTCTGGGTGATCACCACCGGTTCTTTGACAAGGTTCGTGCTATTTCATGGATCTTCTCCGGAGTCCGATTAACTGAATAGGACGGTTATCCACTAGTGTCAGTGCTGCAGTTGTTCTTGTCCTCGTGAGATGACATTTTTTATTGTTAAGATGTGTCCATTTTCTCATGCTAATCACTCAGTACATCGCCATGCCGGATACGCTGGCTTATCTGGCATATGGAGTATGTTATTCGAAGTTGTATCTGTGCAACTACCTCGCCATGTAAGTTGCATTAATCAACACCGCGATCCTAGGCTCAAAGCAACTCGTCGATCTGTTCAGGATGAACACAAGAGAGAAGCTGCGTTACAAGCTTAAGAATGCCGATGTGATTGCCCTGAACACAGTTGACTGGACCAACGAGACTATTATCAGTACTTGATTAACGATGCAAAACAGAAGGTCCAGTATCCAGCACGGTGGCACCCGCAGTGTCCAACATCTGCGTTCCATGGCTGTTGAATTGTATGTGTTTGTTTGTTTGGTAGTAGCGTGCAGATTGAGAGCGGCTCAGATTATAAGATTTGTCATGGCGCCCGTGAACTAATCAGAAGAACGACGAGAGTGATATACCTTCCCCTCGCTTACGCATGCGAGTCCGGCACGCATTCGTGCGTTTTTGTGGTCTCAAGCGCACGCATTCGTGCACTCGCAAATGAATTGCTGCCTAACCTCGGTCAGAGTACAGATAAAGCGTGAAAATTGCAACAGAAAGACAGTTTGTGTTTTGTCGCCCCGAAGGCACCGAAGGGTAAGAGAAAAGAGCTGATGTTACATGCATGCTGAACAAAGACCTCAAAGCCGGAGATAAACAGGCGAGTTGGTCGTGGAGACCGAGACCGAACCCAACTCCTTGGGGTGGCTCGGTCCCCACCAGGTCTGACCGGAGAACTCGCGCGAGCGCTGCTGCAGGTTCTGCACCTGCCGCGTGCGCCCGCGACCGGCGGGGTCGTTCTTGAAGTCGGGGATCTCGAGTCGCGCGGGCATGACGCTCGTGCGGCCGTGGAACGATCCTTCAAAGGCCGGGTGGAGGTATACCGACGCGGGCGAGTTCGTGGTGTGCGCGATGTAGTTGAGCACCGAGTCGATGGCGAGAGTGGGGAAGTGGACATTGAGGGCCGCGTTGGACGTCGTGGTGAACGCTTTGAAGTGGGACGGTTTCGAAGTCGCGTTATAGAAGCTGATGTTGGCTTCGAGAGGGCTGAATAACGGCGGGTTGGGTATATGAAGTTCATCTAGCACGGGAAGCAGGTACTGACCTGTTCGTGGTCGCGACACTCAAAGTCGACTCTGTTTTGCCGTAATTGTACAGATGGACGTCGGCCTTGATGCGCGCATTGCTGGTCGTCAAGGAGAGCGACGTTGACGAGTTGTAGACGCCGGTGATAGGACCATTCGTGGTGTGGATCTCGGTGGCCGGAGATTGAACAATGTCGGATACCTCAACGGCGCTGTTGGTCGTGATGATATTGATGCGTTCGCCGCCCAAACTCTGCGTCATGGTTAGCATGATCGGGAACAAGCAGACCAAACGTTGTCTTGCCTCGATGACCGCGGGCCGGTTCGTGCTGCGGAGAGTAATCGAGTCGAAGTGATACACTCCCAGGAAGCTGCCGACGTGGGTGGCAAAATTGTGCAAACTGGTCGTGAATTTCTTGATGTGGCCGGGCGAACGTCTGGGACGCGGGAGCTTGGCAACGAGGCGGAAATCTAGGCTCTCCTTATTTGTTTGGTGCTTCCAGTACCTCGGAGTCTGCAATAACGGAGTCGTTAGCCGCGCGGATATTGGATGACCACGTCCGACATACGAAAATTCCGACACCGTGCTGGTCGTCCTCGCGACTGAGGCGGCATACGCTCGCCTTTTTCAGGATACGTTCTAGCCAGTAGACGACGGAGACCTCGACCTCGATGTCGTTTCCTTCGTGCTCGCCTTGAACTATGTCGAGCTTGCCGTAGCTCAGAGCCCCTGTTGAGATGAAGAAGAGATGCTCCGCGTCGACAGGTAGCTTGAAGGACGTGGTACGGATGTAGCGTTCATGATCGTCGGGGTAGGGATGTGCCTCGGACCATTGATCGCCGTGCACGCATCGCTCGATGTGGCCATCCTCCGCCGACGGCCAACCCATGCCGGTCTCCACGTCCTGCGCGACGGCACGCTGAAGATAAGTCGACACCTGCGGTGATCGCGGTTGAAAATCATACGCACGTTGTTGTGGTTGCGCCCCCATCTACCGAGATCGGCGATACTGCCGGTCAGCATACCGACCAAGACCCAGATGAGAACCGCTACAGCAAAAGCGCCTAGGAATCGTCGTCGAGCTGCGCGAGTCGCCGTACGCTCTGCGTGTTCCTCGAGAGCACCTGGTGGATAAGGTTTGTAGAGTATATTGCTGCTCGGTCCTGCGCCGTACGCCGGTGGCGGGCCCTCGGCGAGCAGTCGGCTTTCGCTGGTGCGCTGGGCCTCTGGGTCGCCAACTCGCGTTGGCTGGTTTTTTGCGTCGGCGGCGCTTTCGGTTATGATCATGGAGGCGAGGAGGGTAGGGCAGGCGAGCTCGCGTAGGCGCCGATCGTTATATAGGCCCTGGCCGCTCCGTTCGGAAGCATGTGCTTGAAGCTGCGCATCACTGCGGTGGGTTTTTCGGTTGGTTGTCGCAGCCTATCTCGCAGCCGCGTTTGCGGTCCCGACGAGCTCGTACAGCGCGGCCCACCCGACGACTGCGGCGTGGGCGTTGTCGACATCTGCCTTGGCCACCGGGTGACTATTGCGATTGTGCGACGCCGTCTGAGCACGCGAGGCAGCATACCATCGTGAGAATTTGATCCGCCCTCTGTAACTCCTATCATTTGGAACGCAAGATAGAATTACCAGGGCCTTGGCTAAGCTATTGGGATCTCCCCCTCGTAGGATGCCAATAACACCGAGCACACGAAGCCTTGCCTTGCAATCTCATACATAGCCCTCGGAGGGAACATCGCGTACGTACTGTCGTCGCATGCGAGGACCCTCGGACCGTCTCGCGACGTCAGTTTCTGGTTGCAAACTATGCATCGCGAAGACGCCAATTAGGACGGTGTGTATAACAAGTCTAATATCGCAATCTCTACGAATTCTCAGGCCGAGAGGCTGACGGGGACGCAACCGAGCGCGACCAAGCCACGCTGAGACCGCCGTCAATGTTTGCTTTCCGTACGAATGGACGCAATTACGTACGTAGTTGTTGTCTTCGCAGCAAACAGGTGATACGCTGCAGCTATCGCCGCCGACACCAACGCCGGAAATGGGGCTGCAGTTGACCCCGACTTCACCGGTCACCGACTCGACAACGACATTGACCAATTTCAAGAGCGTCGCAACGCCGGGAGAATCCGCCTACGGCGACAAAGTAGTGAGAACGGTGCGGTCGGCGATGTATGCTGACAACGCACCTTCTGGACCACTGGATCGAGCCGGTGTTGCACTGGCTCTTGGTCGCGGACGCGACGGCGGCGAGCGCAGCAAAGGCAACGAGCAGGGAAGAACGAGAGAACATGACGAAGATGATGACGACGACGACGACGACGATGAGGTTGATTGAGCTGAAGTGTGCTGCGTTGAATTCGGCTGTTCGACTAAGGTAGGAATGTGTACGCCCTACACCTTTATAAGCAGCCACGGATCCCGACTACAGAGCAGCATCCACGAACCCTCGCAGGGCGTCGCAGGACGTCGCGGCGTCTTGGCCGAACGAAACGAAGTGAAGGGAGCGTTGCTGACGCCGTTTTTTGACATCCACGCGCTCTAAGAACGTCGATGAATTTCCGAGCTCGCTGCCCGACTGGCCAGGTGCAGAAAATGCGGCGCTATGCAGCTCGCGTAGGAGACGGCGGCGAAAATCGAAGACAGCGTCCATCGAAACGCGGAATCGAGACGTTGCTGCCAATTTACGGAGAGGCACTGCCCGACGTCGACGTGTGTACGTCAAGTGGGGGAGCGCTTGGCGCCTGCCTGCGCGTCCCCCCGATGTGACTACACACACTGAGGCCTTAGGATCGGTGGACGAACGTAAACGCCGGAGATCGTGGACATGTAAGAGAGGTCGCCTGTGTGACGTTCAATATAGTAGCAATGAGGAAACGCAAACCTCAACGATTCGGGAGCTCGAGGCTGCATTCACCGCGCATCGTGCCGGACTGGTTCAATCGCGACACATTGAGAAAGGAGCATGCGTTGAAACGAAGTTCGACCTTGTCTAGTCGCGTATCCGCTTGTCCAGGGGAAAATCCTTGATCTAGGGAGTTAAACTCGATGAGCTGACGTTGGACGTGGTACGGCTTGGTCCTAGGCGCAGAGGCGTGTGCGGATGGAGGTCATGAGAGACCTCCAAGCAAGTTCTCAATCGGTCGTCAACTTGTAGTGGCTGAACATCTATAACACTGCCAGGACGGTGCAGTAGTTGCTGAAGCATAATCGAAGTGGCTGCGATTGTTCCGCCGTATGAGAAAGATCCGACTAACAAGTCAAGACCAGGTGGGCGTAGCGTCAGATACATGCATGCAGGTCGAAGTTGGAAAGAGGCCCGCGACGGCCTCCGAAGAGCCTAACCGGAACGAATCACATCCCACAATAACCGTGTTATTCCTTGCGATTCAGAAAACTATATGACACATTATAAACAGCGGACGGGTCATATGCTAGGTATTGGTACAACAAGAACGGGACCGATGATCGATGCGATGCGTGGTTAGCGGATGGATGGATGGGAGGGGCGAACGACGGAGGGTGTGGATGAATGCAGATGCAGTTTGAGAGGAACATGCCATGGACCAATCACCAGAACAGAAAAAGGAAAATCGATACCGAAACGAGAGACGACGACGCATGAGCGAAAGAGACGCAAGGAGCGCTGTGAGCCAGATATTGAACAAATCGAGAGAGAAAGAAAGTGCAGAACCAAGATTAACGCGGGCGCCGTTGGAGGCGCGCACCGAGCATATCTTACACATCGCCTGGTGAGGAATATCTCCCTCGCCCCAAGCGCGTTTCACGACGGTCACCACCCAGCGTAGTGGTAGTCGTCGGCCCAGCTCTTGTTCCTCGCCAATGCTTGCTTCCTCGCCTCCTCTTGCGGGTCAGACCCACTTCCACCAGCCTCGTTATCGCCATTCGTGGTCGTCAACGGTCGCAGGCCGCCACCGAGGGCGTTGGGTCGCTTCCGGGGGCCGACCATATTGATCATGCTGACCTGTCTCTCCCATAGGAGATTCCGGCGGAGAGACTCGCTGAGCTCGGTGGCGAGCATCTGTCGACGCGTCGTTCGCGGGGTAGTCGGAGCAGCAGGGGTTGGCAGGTTATACGGGTGACCGGCAGGTAACGGGACAGGGGTCGGGGCGACGGTCGAACGGGGCGCGGCAGGCTGAGTCTGGGAGCGATACATAGTGTGTTGCTGAACGGGGGGCTCGAAGGCTGGACGTATCTCGGGAGGCGGGGGTTCCTCCCTCGCTTTCTCCCTTCTCCTGCCGTTCGCGAGCTCCTCCAGTTTGCGCTGGGCCAAACTCTTGGATATCCCGCCGGTTTCTTCGGCACTGTCCGAGTCGTCCTCCATCTCGAGCTCTTCCGGTCGGCCCTTGGGCCTGTAGCCCGATTTTTGTGCCGTCGCGTTGAGCTGGGCGGGGGCTGGCGTCGCGGTGACCGTCGGCAGAGCGGCGGCACTCTTGCTCGTCTTCAGCAGGCTGGTGCCAGGTGCACCGCTGACTTGGACCTGAGCGCGCGGCGGGTCCGGTGGCGGGGGCTTCATCGAGGTCATGCCCATGCCCAGCCGCGCCATAGGGCCCAACGGACCAGCACTGGCCTGCCTTCGAGGCGGCGCCTGCTGCTGCTGCTGCTGCTGCTGCTGCTGCTGCTCGCCACGTGACGGCTTTTCTGGCTGCTGCGGAGGCCGCATACCGACGACGTCATCGCTCGAGAAGCCGGCGCGGGCATACGGGTTGCCGGGAGCGAGGGCCGTTTCGGGATGGAAGAGCATGCTGAGGAGGCCGCTGCCCGTCCGGTTCAGGTTCGAATAGCTCCTCTTCGGCAGCTTCGCGAACAGGTCGCGTTGCCGCTGCGCTTCCTCCGCGGCTTCACGCAGACGGATCGCCTCCAGCTCCTCCTTCGTCCGTTTCTGCGGCCCGCTCTTCTTGTTATTCTGACTTTTCTTGGAGGGGCCGGCATCCGACACATCCTCCGAGGCCCAGTCCGAGTCGTCGTCCGTCTCCGTCTCCGTGTCCGACCAGCTGTCGACCACGATGCCGCGCTTGCCTACGATCTCAGCGGCGCGCTGGGCGGTTGCCGATTTGGCCTTGCCTTTACCCTTGGCGACGTCGGCCTTGGGCACGCTCGTGAGCTTCATCTTCGCGGCCGTACGAGACTTGGAGCCATTGGACGACGTCGAACCGATCTTGAAGGCGGCGTGCGGCTTAGGCTTGTCATTGGCCTCTTTCTCCTTCTCCTTCTCCTTCGTCTTGACATCCGTAGTCGCACGTCGGATAGGGCCCGGGCGCTGAGGAACGGGACGACGTTGCGAAGTTAATGCACGTATTGGTTCCTTCCCTTTGCGACCGCGCGCGTGACCGCCGATACCGGACGACACGGTGGTGGCAGACGCCACGCGCTTCGGAGGGGCCGATGGCGCCTTGGTCGTCGGCTCTTCATCCGCCGCTGGGCTGTCCGAGCTGGCGGTCACCGATGTGCCTTCCGACGTGACCGAAGAGCCGCCTCCGCGAGGATCACGCGGCGAGAGAGCGTCGCCCGATTGACGATCGGGCGAATCGTCCTCCGGGCTCTGCTTGAGGAAGAAGCGCCGTTCAGACGCCTTGAGCGTATCGTTGTTGGCGTCCGAAGGTTTGGCAGGCGTGGGTGTGGGGCGCGCGATGACGGTTACACCAGGGGCGAGCGCAGGTTCGAGGCTCGCGGTGGCGGGTGGCGGCATAGCACGAGGGGTAGGCGCCGCGTTCCGAGGAGGAGGGAGCATATCCGTAGGAGAATGCGGCGGTACCGTGAGAACGGACGGGGGCATCATGGGGACCGGCGTTGCCGGAGGTGTTGGATGCGGAGTGGGATTGACGACGACCACTTTCGGTGCGAGGGAACCGGGGGCGCTGTTATTCGCGCTCGTAGTCGTCGATGCGGGCGGCGGCGAACTAAGCTTGCTGATGACCGGTTCCGGAACAACGGTGAGTCGTGGCCTGGATACATGTGGCTCGACCGAGGGCGAACGCAATCTCCCGTTGTGCGTGTAGACGACTTTCTCGGGGAGCATATCGCAGATGATCTTGCCCACCGACGACGTGGAGGTTGACCGTCGCACAGGCGGACGAGGGGGATCCGCATCGTCGACGGAGCTGGCAGATTCCGACGACACCGCCGAAAGTGCGGAAGGAGAGGGGACACGTTCCCAGCAATCATTACCCCGAACTACGTGAAAGAAAAGATCCGGGGTTAGGGCGCGGGGATGGAGCGTCGGATGTGTCATGAGGGATTTACCATCTTTGTCGTCCGCGTAGCTCGGGAATGGGTAACCTGAGACGCGTTGTTCTTCGTTGGCCCGGTGAAGCAGCTTGCCGTAGTGCGTGGACGGGTCGTGGGATGCGAGTTCTCGATACCACAGTCGCCAGGAGATGTTCTCCAGCCTCTCGCCGTCCTGGAGCGAGTCTTTACACCGGGAGAACACTGGTTGGTGATACCGTCAGGAAGGGGAGAACTCGAGCGGCGAATAATTACGAACCTATCCAAAGGTTCGAAACGGCGTCGCCACCGTCGATTTCTTGCAGCGCATCGGGCGCAAGGTTGAGGACGGGTTGGGTAAAGTGAGATATCATGTTTGATAGAGATGCTGTTCGTGTTCACGACCAAAGACGGAGCGGACGGAAAATTCCAGCTTGACAGGGGCCTCTGGAGGAGGCGGACAAAGAAAGCCGAGACGGATCGAGGAACGAGGGAGCCAATCGGTCGCGTCGTCGAAAAGGCACGGAACAAGGGGAAGAACGGTTCCGAATAGGCCCTGAACGTGTGGCGCGCGCTCGACACCGGCAGAGACGCGAGTCCGGGCGGTGAAGGGGACGGCGGGGACGCTGGACGACGCGGAGAACGACGTCGAGGAGGTTGAGGGCGACGGGAGAGGCGGAGATGGGCAACTGGGCTGCTGGCCTAAACATTGAAGAGCCGGTGCCTGCGGCCAGGCGGACCGACGTCCGGCACGCACTCGTACGAAATCACGCGCGTCTCCTGGACCCCCGCGGCCGCACGTTCCATCCGATCCCGATGATATATATTTCATCTCTCTTCGTTCTAGCCAACACGCGCATCCGATATTGCAAGTACACCATGCGGCTCTACCAGCGGACCACTCGTTCAGCAACGCCTCCAGCAACAACTGTACAGTAGTACTTGGTTGGAGGGTCGGGCGCCCGCTGGTTTGGCAAGGGGTCCCCGGAGCGGCGTATTGGCTCCTTCCTTTTGCCTCTCCCGCACCTCGGGCCCAAGAACATTTCCTTACCCGGCCCCGGACAACTGCACAGCCCGGCCGGTGGACGTACTGATCCCTGCACCTTGACCGCCCTCGTCGCCTGTCTGTTTACTCCATCTTCCGCTCCAGTGAACGAGCTGCATGGCACGGAACGCACTCGACCCATCCCCAGCTCGGCATGTGTAATCGACGCTCCGAACATATGCCGGCTCGCTGCGGTCCTCGACACCACGCTGTAACGCGTAATCGCCTCGCGACGCATGGCAGAGGCGGGCGAGCGCGGCGGTCACCTGCCTTCGCGCGGCCTCAGTCGCGTCTCAGGGTCATCCCAGAAGCTCGTCAGCCCCGTTGCACTCATCCAATACGCTGCCCCAGTGGGCTGACAGCATCCGCTCTCACTGCTTTGCTCGTACTGCGGCCCCGTCCGCGTCGCGGGAGACCGCTCGCCGCCCGCATTGATCCTGGCGCCAACCCCAGACTTGGTGGGAGCGCACCCACCCACCTCGTCCGACTTCTCAAACGGGCTCTTCGTCCGACCTCACGCTAGAAGGTGGCCCGCGGTGACACGCCGCTGCACTCAAAGCCCACGCTGCGGCGGTCGTGGTGGTTGATGATCAGACATCAACATCCTTATTTTGGCGTTTGGAGCGCAGTCCCTATGCGTCCTATACATCGAACAGTCTATCTGCTCCACAACTCTCTGCGTAACCCCACCATCCCTGCGCGCCCCAGTCCCGTCTTTTCATGACGTCTCCCGTTGACTCCTGATTTATGCTTTTTTCTAACGCCGCACCCTGTCCGGGTACCCACGCAGGTCCTCAATTGTTATGCTTCTTCATTTCGTGGATCGACCTTTACCTGCAAAGCACGGGGTTCATCATATGCGCTTTGGGCATTGGCCACGCATCTTGTCGCAAAACGATGTCCTCGGCTTCGGATATGGCGCCCTTGGCTTCTCGCATTCCCGTCAAAGCCCGGAAATGACTCAAACTCTATCAAACGTTTCTCGCTTGGTACGCCGATATGCGATCCAAACTCTGAGTTGAGGTTGGTTTCTCTTTACAACGTCTACGGCCTTTCATCATTCTTGGCGCGCAAATTCAGCCAGCGGCTCTTCGCTATTCGCCACCTTGGACAAGGAATATCGTCGGCGCCAGAAATTGCCTCCGCGAAGGCGAAGGGTATAATGTACACGGATGTCCTCGATCGGGGCCCGATTAGATCCCATTTCACCCTTCTCCTGTCATGAACGAACCTGCCGTGCCAATTTGCCGGATCGCGCCGCTCTTGCTATTCCCGTCCTCTTGCGAATAAATCCGTCGAAGTCGATCAGACCTTTCTCCCTGGACAACGGGGACTGCCGACGGCTCTTGCTCTGCGCATACTCGGTCTCTCGTCGGCGCGGTGCTTTGCACCAGAACGCGCAGTTAGCTCTTGCACTGTGTACATGTATCTGGCCGAAAATGGATTGAGCTCATCATTTCCCGCTTTCTTCGCAACCGAGTGCTGGCACCAGCGCATGAATTATGAATAGCTCTATGAGTAGGATTCGAACCATGTCCGCGAATCGGCATCGGCTACTGGTCTTGTCCGCGACGGAATCTCCTGGAGGTCATTCAAACTACTTCCCGCCTTATCTCAGAGCCCGAGTGGCGTGAGGTGCTTTGCTGGTTTCACTACTATACCACCAGAAACGACGAACAGATGACGGATAGCGTGTGGTGAGACATGCAGAATCCCCTCTACTCTCGCTATTAATAGCGTGCATTTTCCCTCGTTTGAAGTGGTTTATTCACGAACACTCGCCGAACGTCAGCTTATCAGCCGTATGTCTCGGACCTCGTCGTGCTTGTAGGGTGCCATCAACACCATTTATATCGATGCGGGTGCTGAGCGGACCGCGGATGGACACCTCTCAAATGCGGCGAGTGCCAAATTGGACGTACCGCATGTGCGCAATAGCACGACTTGGATGCGCCCCACGCTTTCTTCTACCTACCTCCCTTTGTTTTGTTAGTCATAAATCCATCGCACTACTTCCGCTAGTGAGTTTAATGACGTTCGACACACGTCCCTCTTACACTCCAGCTATTATCCATGCAACTGGATGCTCATCTGCTCAAAACAAAGAAATATTCTGTAACATCGTCTGTAAACCCGCTCCTTTTCTGAGCAAATCCGTCTCCCGTCGCGTGGAGCTCGCAATTCTTCTCTCAACTCTGTCGTCGGGCGTACAATATACCATGGGGAAACCGTCGGTGCCGACAAGCCCAGGTTGTTAATCTTGCCGTCGCTGGCCTGCACATGAACGGGTCAGCATGTACCGAGATAGAGCTACCCAGACACTCGCAGATGCGGAGCATATATGCACCAAGATGGCAATTGGAACACTCTAGGTTCTAAAGACAGCGGACCCCGCGCACGCGGCCGATTGTTCTTGGATGTCCAAGTGGAGAAAGTCGAGGCGCCGGTTGTGGTTGTCACTGTCAGGCCCTGAATCGCCCCGCCGGTCCCTGACTCGCGGATGCATTCACGGCGGGAGTTTCATACCGCAAATCCGATCGAAACTATATTCGATTCCAAAATCCCTATAAGGCATTTAGATTTAGATAGAAATCCGCTTTATACGGAATTCGGCACTCATAATCACAGCCAGTCCGATATGGTAATCGAAACTTGAATAAAAAACCTGGTCTTGATCTGAAGTTGAAAGCCGATTTCTACTGAAATCGGCATTTTAAGAATGAATTTACATACAGGTCCGACCGATACCCAAAATATCAGTCCGATCGAAACCTAAATCGTTACTTTAAGAGTCGAATTAAGTATCGACCTACATCATACTTGAAGTTCAAACTACGTTTCTACTCAATTCACGGTGACAGTACACGGACCGAGCGAAGACCGACCGGGTACCGTGCGATCACAGGGCTCACCGTTCCTTCTAAGTCCGGTGATGGTCTGCTGTCATCGGTCGGTCATCGTCAATCTCGCCGTACAGTGGATGTCCAAAG